GTTCCCTACAACTTTTATCCGAGTCGTTTTCCTTCAAACGTTGATCCTGAAAAGTTATAAGGGTGGAACTTTTAAAATGGGACACCCTGTATAGGAAAATTTAAATAATTTAATTTATAAAATTAAAGATTTTATTTATATGGAAGTTAAAATTCTATTTTAAATCTTAAGTAGATAATAACGGACAGAAATTGTCCGAATAAGTGAAAATCGAACATTCATCTGTTCGATTTTCCAAAAATCAGTTCAATATCTGAATTCCTCGATACGGGAATCGTGTCAGATATTAAACTGGTAGAAATAATTACAATGTTATTAGCCGCATTTTGCAGGCTTTTTATATATATACGTTTCTGACAAGAACTTGAATACGCACACGGAAATTAATGTACATTAGATATCTACTGGATGTTCTCAATGTGCATTAGGGATATCCGTGAATATGTAGGAAATAGTTATTAGACATGCTTTAAATATCCAAATGTCCACAATACGAGATCTGATAAATATTCACAGGATATGTAAGCCAATATCCACTGGACATCCACATCGTCAGTATTCAGTAGATATTCATGTAGATATCCATTGTATGTTGGTTAAATTTTAGTCACAAAATGACTAATTAAATATTCTAAATTAGGTCTCAGGAGACCTGAAAATGACGTCAATATGTCACATTCACGGAACGTCATTTTCTGACATTTGTTTGACGGCAAAACTAAAACCAATTACAGTAATAATTATAATAACATATTAATATAATATATGTATATTATAGATAAATTTAAATAATTTAATTTATAAAATTAAAGATTTTATTTATATAGAAGTTAATTTCTATTTTATATTTTCCTTAACAATACACCTTCTCCGGAAGACATCCGGAGAGTATCCAGAGGATATTAAACATCCTCTGGATAACCTCTGGATGGTCTCTGGATGTCCTCTGGACATTTGTGTTGTTAGGGTTAAGTATCCACTCGGCATGTAATACTTCTGATACATTGCTGCAATATTCTATTTGAATGGAAATATTTCACGACCGTTTCTGCAACATTTTTGCAATGTTTCAATGTCTGCAATCATTTCAAATGCAACCTTGCTAAAAGATTTCAGCAATATTTCGGTAATATTACTGAAATATTTCTGAAACATATCCCAAGTAGCAAACTGACGTCATAATGACGGTAAATTTTGGTCACAAAATAACCACTTAGACATCCTAAGTTAGGTCTCATGAGACCCGAAAATGATGTCGATATGTCACATCCACGAGACGTAATTTTCTGATGTTTGTTTGACGGCAAAACTAAAATCAATTACAAATATTATTAAATTAATAATATATAATAACACACATTAATGTGATACATATTATAGATAAATTTAAATAATTTAATTTATAAAATTAAAGATTTTATTTATATGGAAGTTTCTGTTTTATATTTTAAGCAGATAATAACGAACGATTTTCATTGATTCGGACAGAAATTGTCCGAATAAGTAAAAATTGGATATTTATCTGTCCGATTTTCCAAAAATCAGTTCAATATCTGAATTCCCCGGTACGGCAATTGTATCAGAAATTAAACTGATAGAAATAATTATAATGTTATTAGCCGCATTTTGCAGGCTTATTTATACGTTCATGACAAAAACTTGATGAATACGGGTATAGAAAGTGAATAGTGCGCCGCATAACGGTAAGCAAATGAACTATAATCCTAATACAAGTTACAGAAGGGTATTATTTGGATGACGTCTTCAAAATGTTTCTATATAGATGGTCTA